AAGAAATAAGTATAATATAAGTACTGAAAACCTTTTTTTTTAAAGAATATTGTAACACAAAAGTACCAGCTGAGTCCACATTAAGAAAGGATGTATTGCTCAAGTTGTATAAAAATACTATTGAAGGTATAAAGGCAGATATCGCTGACCACAACATTTGGTTAAGTGTTGACGAAACAACGGACGCCTATGATAGATACATTGCCGCCATAGTTGTGGGCAAACTGATTGCTGAGGAAGTAGACCCCATGTCAAATGCAAAGAACATCAACAAACCAACCACTCTACAGTATCAATTGCAGTAAGGGATGCTTATAGGTCCTTCGGTCAGATGGAGAAGGAGAGGATAAATTGCGATTGCTAGTGACCGACAGTGTAGCTTACATGCTAAAAGCGGACGAATTTCTCAAAAAGCTTTGCATTCTCGCTCCATGTCACCTGTCTCGCACCTAGTCTCCACCGGGTAGCTGAAAAGATTCAGGAATAGAATACTACAGTCAGCATTTCCTCAGTGAAGGTCTTCTTGAAAGCACCAAATCGAGTGGTTATATTCAGAAGGAAATTACCTTCGATACCGCTGCCTCCACACCCTGTAATGACACGGTTGGGTACGTTGCTATCAGCAGCAATGTATTATGCAGAAAACTACATAAGCATCGTAGGGATAATTGATTCATTAAATGAATATAATTCAGCCACCGTTGTAAATGAAAAAACAAAACAAAACAACATTCCACTCAGAACCAAAAGTACAGGAGTTGAGCTATATCAAGGCAAATTATTCTAACTTTGAAAGTGCAATTAAAAAAAAAAATGGAAGAATCCACTCTTCTCATAACAGAAGCGTTGCAAGTCTGAGAATCTTTCAAAGTACTTTATTGTTCAGTGTCATACTAGGAGTGCAAAATGAGCACTGAAACCCTCTTCTGTGTTCCTTTCAAATGCGCTAGAAAGCGGAGAAACTGCATTCCACTTCACACGAAGAGATAGGTGCGAAATTCATTTCGACTTTTTCCTTTGGGTTCAAAAATCATTGAATCATGCTTTCTTCACAGAGAACGTGACCTGTTGTTGCTGTGACCTTCATATCCGGACTGCGCACTAAAACGGCTTCTAACTTTGTTCGTATAGAATCTATTTTCTTCTGGAATATATATTCCAAAAATCGTGAAAATTCCTTAATCGAAGATATAAGATCCTATAAAATTATAATATACTGATAGATAAAACCTAATTCTAACTTTGTAAAACCTAAAAATCCGGGGCTTGAAAATAACAGAAAAATTCAAAACTCACATGAATGTATTCATCCGTTTCCATTGAACGTCAGTTTAAAAAGTTACAAAATCAATATTGCTGATAAACAATTTCAAACTATACGCACGTACTAATTCAAATTTAAACTAAGGTTTCGGGAACACTGCTCCCCACGTTCAGGTTTTTTGTTAGATATGAATTAAGATAAAAAACTTCTTTGGGTGCATAAATATATAATGTGCGCCACAGTACAACCAGGCGCACGCCTGTGTCTAGTAGACGCAGCATAATCAAAAGTAAGCACCCCTCGTAATGGAGGGCAACCGGGACATACTTGAACTACGTATATTCTTTGTCCAACGAGAGAGCGAATCGGATGTAAATAAACCGAATTGCATCCCTCCGCTGAAGGACGTGGTGCGGTGCCACTGAGCTGTCACCTGGCAGCTTTAAACGCCGGATGTTGGAGAGAACGAATTCATCCACACGATGCGTTATATCCGTCAACCTTCGGAATGTGTAGATGCACAGGAGAAACGGACGTTGACAATCAGGGATCAACATCATACCCTCGTAGTTATTACACTCAACACATTTCAAAAAAATTACTGTTGATGTACGGTCGACAATACGAATTCATTAACCAGCATCCAGACAACAAAAACGCGAGCTGTCACATTTCGCGCATCTTACGTGCGATACACGTATGCCAAAAATTGGTGCAGCACTGAAGTAATCTGGGTCCTCGTGGATAGCTCTTGGTCAGCGTGCACGTTTTCCACGACGGGGGACCGGGTTCGATTGCCGATGGCACGATTATAATGTGCGTTTTCCTTACATGTCCCAGTATACGTTGCTGAGTGATGATGAGAAAATTCACTTCCCGTTCAACAATCCCCGACGTTTTCGTCGATAGAGACGACTGCATAGTGATAACGCTTAAGTGAAAAAAAACAATACACAGAATTCATTCGAACGCCAGGTCACGTACACTATCACATGCACACGATTTTAAACATCGATCTTAACACTGCAGTACTAAGTCACACTAATTTCTACTCATTCTTTCTGTGTACAGAAATGAACTCAAAATAGTTTCACTACAAAATAGACAAAGCTGTTACGCGACCCGCCATTACAGTGAAACTACTTCATTGGGTAAGTATCATCGGTTACCGCTATCATTTGATGTAACCCATGATGTAAGGCAACGTAACACTAATGCACATGCTTTTATAATTGTATATTAAGAGCAGGAGTTAGGACAATAAGTATATTAAGATCAGTAAAGTAGTTTTCTCCCTGGAACACCTCCCATTAACTCTACAAACTGTAAAAAACATATATTGCAAGCAATAAAATACGGGTGATGTTCATTTTTGGACAAGCCGAGTTAGTTTTATAGACGCAAATACACAATTAATTTGTGAAAAATTAAATATTATTAATATGG